CCACTCGGGACGAGGAGCAATAAACGGCTGATTTAAGTTATGATTTTAATTATGGAATTGAGCGATGACCCACTAAATTGTGTGGTGCAACCCTTGGATTTTTCGCTGATCAATTAGCAACCGCATGGGCTGTGCTAACTGTCTTCGGTTTCATTGCCACTTTACGGGTGGAAAATGTATGTTGAGGGAATCAAATTGGGAAATGACGACTAAAGTCGGTCATTTCTCAATTTCATAATACGAATTTTATAACAATGATGAATCCCCAATAAAGTGATTGAAAAATTATTTTTGGACATTACAATCTCATAGAAAAAAATTAGTAGAATTGAATTTTTGCGCAGAGATTCTTGCATGAAATTTTTCAAGTTTTTGGTTGATTTTTTCAGTGAGTGGAGAACAGAAAAGTGTAAAAAAATTTTGAAAAATTTATATATCGAGGAATTTCTTCAGAAAATAACTCAATGAAATCAATTAAATAGAAAGATCGAATAATCTCGAGTTTTTCCCAGCTAAGCCTCTATTAAAAAACACTGCCTGAATCAAGTCGAAGGATCTGAGTTGACGCGAGTAGGACTGATTCTTGTCGAGAATCGACTTATTTCATGCTGTGAATAACATCCTGAATAAAGTGTCACCCAAAATGTGCAAACCAGTATAACGAATTGGTTCAGGTCGTGTCCAACTTGATTCAAGTCAATTCTAGAACTTCATTCAGAGCGGGTTCGACCTGATTCAAGTATCAATTTCATCTTTATCAACAAGTATCAATTCGGCTTGCATCATGTGCTTATCTACTATCTACGTTGAGAAAAGACAATTTTGCCACGAATTCGTTTTCTTGAAAAAAGACATTATTTTTTTTAGAAGCGTATTTCTCCTTTTCGCAAAAATCGTTCATGAAAATGTCCATTCACCGTGCCCATTTTCTCAACGCTATCTGGGGGCGTCCCCCCTGAAGCTTGCTGTCACTCGAGATATTTCGAGTTCGACTTTTTTCTATTCGAGTTTTTTCCCGCATGACTTTTTTGAAAGGAAAAAAATGTAAGACGGACATAGAAATAGCAGGGAATGGAGGTCGGAAGTCCACGAGATCAATAGAATGAGACATCAATAATACAACACAGAAAAAGAATAACCTCGAATCGGGTATATAATATTCCGGAATTAGGTACATCTCTATTCCGGAATCCGGGATTTTATATACTGGAATCCGGAATATTATATTACGGAATTTGGAATAATATTCCAGAATTCGGAATATTTAATTCTCGATGCGGAAATAATGCCCGGAAAATCCGGGATGTTTTATCGTCAATCCCGCCCAGGTAAGAATTGACGATAGAAACAGGGCTCATCAAGTTCTGGACCAAGGCTCGGAAATGCTCAATTAGGGCTGAGGCTCAGCCTTGGATCAATCCTCCTTCAGCCCTAAAATGATAACCTCGTTTCAGGCTTAGTCCGTAAGGCTTGAACGAGGCTTGGTACCAAGACTTGATTCAAGCCTTAAATTACCAAATTTTAAAGGCTCAATCGAGCTTCGGCTCAATAAACTGGAGTATTGTTTACAGATATTTGTATAAACAATTTCTTATTGCTTTATAACCTTTTTTATGAATTTAGAGCAACCTATGAAAAAGAGTGCGGTCGGACAGTACATCACTGTTGCTAAGCGTTGTTGGTGATAGTGATGTCGGTTAACTAACAATGGATGGGAAAAAAATTATTATCATCATTGGTTTCTATTAGTTATTAATCCTGGATTATTACCGCGCACCTGGAAATTGAAATACAATGAAATCAAACATTTAAAAACTTGCTCCTGCTGGGGTTCGATCCGGGGTCCTTCTGATCCGTAGACAAGCGCGCTATCCACTGGGCTACCTGCCACTTCTTAGGATGATACATTCTTTTCGGGTATAAAAATTCAACTTGTGTTAGTGTTATTTTGTTGATATCCTAATTAAACTTCCTGAACTTGAATAAATGATAGGTCCGATGGATTTATGAGTTCAGAATCGATTGATTAATTAATTATACATAAGGATAATAATAATTATGTAGCCTCGTGCACAAAGAGCTGCTCTAGGCCTGGTCTGGAATTAGCCTAGATAACTTGGTGGAAAATTATAGCTATGTTTGTATATTAGATAATGATAATGTTTTCACCACCATTAGCTAATGAGTATTGATATGAAAATTGAGGAAATTAATCGAAAGTAACTTTAATTTTTAAGGCCTTGCTGAGCCCTGAATAAGCCTTGATGTACTGAGCCTGAATACTGAAAGCCTGGACTAGGCCTGAATTGAGCGTCGCCAATGGCCCCTTTAATCATCCTCATTTGAAGCTCAAGTGAACGATGAAACCAAGCCTATCCCAGGCCTGAATAACTGAGCCTCGCCAACCCTGGGCTCATACAGGCTTGTTCTCATCGTCAGCCTATGTAATTCTTACCTGGGCGGAAGAATATTCCGAAATCCGATATATATAATTTTCAAATGGATTCTCAGTCGATATTGGGATAAATTCATTCTCTGGATGATAGTGTACGTTGAATTGGTAATACGAAGAGAAGAGGAAAAGGAAAAAATGACACAATTATACTGTGACGAAGGCTTCCCAAACCTCGACCTCGTGTAGTAACTCGGAGCAGGCCTCAGAGTGAGGAGCTCAATGGCCTCCCAGCATTTTCAAACTGTTCTAGAGTTTGCTGCTGGCACTAATAATTCAAAAATCTCGCAAGAATGTCCCAAAATACGACCAATTGCCTCTTGAAATCCACTAATAATTTGCAAAACCCTCAATTGCCAGCTGAAAGGGCGAATCCGCGGAGAAAGAACGTATGAAAACACTTCCCTGAGTGCTCCTCGTGATTATTGTCCGAACTCACTAAAATTCGGATGGCGCGGCGTCAGTACATGCCATCTCTTATAGACGCAACGTACAATATTTCAATGCGAGGAAATCCACGGAATATTATTCCGAAATTGAGGATAAAATATTCTGGAATCGAGAATTAAATATTTCGGATTCCGGAATATTCCCGAGTAGAAATTTCACTCAGTTAGCTTGGATCTACATTAGTTTTAGGTTCAATACTGGTCAGAATTTATTGATTAGACTTTCGGATCAGGATCTGATGAGATTCTGAATGGAGTATCTGTATTCATTGTGGCGGAGTGAATTGTGATCCTATTCTGATCAGTCAAATCTCGACTAGATCCGTATCGGATCCGCTACTGTTCAGAAAGATCGGATCCTAGAATTTTAACCAGGCATGGATTCAAACAAGCGTTACATTTCTGATCCAAAACTGATCAATTCTGGTCCGTTTTTACTGGTCAGTCTCTTATTCTATCCTGATTTTAATTTCCACTCAGGTTATTCCGTATATCGGAATTCAGAATATAATATAACGGATTCAGGAATGCACATATTCGTGATTGCAGGATATTATACACTGTTAGAAAAAAAAAATGAAATTTCATGGACAGTTGACTACTAATTTTCAGGACAGTGACACTAAATGCGATTTAGGAGAAAAAAAAATCATGAAATTTAAGGTTTCACTGAACATTCAGTAAAAGTCCAGAATTTTAAGCAGCATAAAGACGAGAATTCCTTAATTTATTTGAATTTCCAATGCCAATTTATATAGAATTTTCGGTGAAACCGGAAAATTCATAATTTTTTCTCCCTAAAGCGCATTCAGTGTTACTGTCTTGAAAATTCCAGAATATATTCACCGAAATTTTCGGGATTTCTATTTATTTTCAGGTAAAACTGGAACTGAAATTCACAGTTCTTCTTTATTTTTCCACGAAATTCCGAATTTTCAATGACGAAAATCCTTGGAATTTCCGGCCTAAGTAAATTCAATAAAAATTTCCGAATAGTGTACCAGAAATTTCGGACAAAAATTTTCAACAGTGTATACAACATTCGAGGATATTTTTTTCGCAGACACTGCATTCCCCGGATTTAGATACTGAGCAATGAGAAAAAAATATATCATTCTGCCAATCAAATTTGTTTCGGACAAGAAATTACAGTGAAATTTTGTATGGAAATTATGGACAATTAATTTGGATAATTAATTAAATGGATAATTAATTTGTTTATCTGAAACAAATTTGATTTGCAGAATTATATTTTTCTGAGTGAAGAATAAAAATAGAATTGAACAAATTCAAATCATCATAAGAGTACAAATTGAACAACTCTGACAGACATTTTCTCAGAGAAAATTATTCTAAAATTTATGGATTGAGCATTTTTGTGGTGCACATTGTGCAGCCAACCGCAGTTATGAAAAAATAGGAGAAATGAAATATGTAGGGCGATAATCAAATGCACGCATTCAGCACTGCAGAAAGTCCTGGCGTCACGCTGTCTACAGCAGTCCGACTAAGCGCGGAATTAACTACTTATTTTTATGTTCGACGTACCACTTATTCCCATCGTAAAATAAAATCGGAACCCATCCAGTTTTTCAAAAAGCTTATTCCCAATTTAGATAAAGAAATAAACTATTGGTTTCCATTTCAGACAACTGGTAATTTTCCAATTTTACAAATTCATTCAAATATCCTTAAGAAATTGATTCCTCATCTTAATTTTAAAAAATGATTATAAAAACTCAATTATAAAAATTCCTCAATGAAAAAAAATTGGTAAATCCTCTAAAGCCTTATAAATACAAAAAATCGATTGTTCCACTCATGAAAAAATTGTAGAACAACCTGCGACTTCGATTTTCCCTCCCACCCTTCTTTCCACAAATTCCTCTGACGTCACTGCAGCAAACCCTCCTTCCACCGTCCTAAGAGCGCAGGCCTTCTATCGATCCTCCAACTGAAAACTCCTCTTCAAACACACCAGTCACCCAATCGTTTCGCGCACTCGTACAACTCAGTGTTTAAGGGTAGGTCGCGCATGCGCACAATCATCAAGTTATCACCGTTGATTCTGCAGTAAAAACGTCCGTGGCACGGTTCTCGTAAACTTTTGGTGCGAGGTACCAGAACACCCGGCATTTATAACACGTAATCGGTGCCCCAGTGTCAAAAACCTCGACAAATACCTGATAGAAACGTTTCATAACCTGCAAAGGCATCCATAACCCCTCCAACAGATCAGTGCCAGTGATAACCGCGATGTAACGTCTTGAATTCCCGAAGAGCCTCACAACACCAGCTGGGACATCAAGAATCCCAAACTGAAAACCATAAAAGTGAAGTTCCCTCGATAACCACCGAATCAACCAAAAAAAGCCAACAAAAATGCCGAAACAAGTGGCAGTAGAGGACCTAGTGATACCACCTCAAGACGGTCGAATCTGCGGTACGATATGCATCTGCCAAATGACAGCTGTCCTCTCCTCAGTGGCCCTAGTCTACCTGACGGTGGCCATCTACATGCCCACCACCAGAGCAGTTGCCTCAGGTATAACCCCAGTTCCCGTAATGTGTACAACAATTCGTACCGTAAACGCCGATAACTGCGACTGGGGCAGCTGTGGTGAATGGTGTTTATCAAAAACATCTGGACCCTGTTCCCAGATTCATGTAAATCTGCGTCGAAATGGCTCGACGATTATCCTAGCCAACTGCACCAACACAACCAATAAAACGTGCTACGGTATTGATCAGGAGAATGCTAAAAAAGCAAAGTGTATAGCTGATGAATGCAAAAATTTAACTGGAACGTTCAACTGTACCGCTGGTTTTTGTATGAATGTCACTGATGCCTTTGAGTGTTCATTCAGCGATACAGATCCACCGCTGAAGTGCTCAGGAAAACGAGGGAAGATCACGTGTATTGCTATCGATGGTTTATTTAATTGTAATAGAGGGACTTGCGAGAGAATACGAACGCCTTACAATTGCGACAGGAGGTGTGTCGACATTCCAACTAGAAATAAGAATGTTATTCTTTTGAGTGGAGACAAGGTTTACTTGAGCCAGTGTGAGCGGGCCATTGATGTTGACAGTGGCAAGGAAATCTGGAACGAAAATAGAGGAGATGTGATGATGGCGTCTTGCTACGGTATCTTTAATTCCAGTCTCGGAGTTGAGGCTGTTGATTGCATTAATGGATCGGTATTGGAGAAGGAGATGCTCACAGACTTGACCAATTTTACGTACTTGTCTTACTTGAATCTTTACGCTACCAAACCACTTGATGAGACTGGTATGATCACACCTCCTGAGCACAGTCTCATTCTCGCCAATGAGAGCCGATTGCTCATTAATCTTGAAGGATGTGTCAATACCCTGAGGGATGAGTGCAGAGACTTCCTGCATGAATATGGCAAGGATGGATCTGATCATAATGCTAGGGCAAGGTTTCCCTGCTTCTATGCTAAGGATAAGACAGGTGTAGTTGTATCGAGATTTGACTTGGATAATACTTGGAAGGAGTTTCTCATTGCGTTTATTCTGCCAAGTGTATTATTCGTTGTCAGCTGTTTGACACTGATTTGTATACAGAGGACCATTGTCGTTGGGGATGATGCTAGAATGAGGTTCAAGGGACCTGGGGCACTCAATGAGATTCATAAGAGTGCAAGTGGGAATCTGGGCGATGCCGGTGGAGGAGACTCGGTTATGGCACTCTGAGATCCGTCACGTAAGGATGAGGAAAATTAATAAGTCATTTGGGGGGGTGGAATTTCATTTAGGTTGATTGATGGGTTTTGGACGGGATTATTATTAGAACGTGATCGGGATTTTAGTTTAAATTAAAAAATGTTTAGGTTTAAACGATTGGGACTTTTTCTACTTCGATTTATCAACCATTTGAACATCTCTGAAATCTGAGATGAATAAGTATAACATATTGAGAATGGTAGCGATTGAAATTATTAATTCCTGTGTTCTTTCGAAAGCAATGAATGAATTCATTTGTTTCTACTTCATTGTCTCATCGGAAACGTCGATATGTGAAGATAATTTAGAGAATTTAGTTGAGGAACAACTCCACTGATGAAGGAGTATTGAATCAGTGAAGTTGTTCCTTCCAAGGCGACGATTTCACTATGAGTTTTAAAATTATTTTTTATCAAAATGTCCTTTCGTCGATGACTTTTATAATTTCCTAAAATATTCGTTATGAAAATCAACGCATTTCCTTCGAACATGACGATATCTTTCAAAAATTCACTATGCACTTAACATATTTACCAAGTTTTTGTTTCAAGTTGCAATTCAAAAAATAGGGTGACCTAGAACACTCAAGCCTTCTTTTTCCGCGAGTGAAAGGGGATGAAATGCTGAATCGAAATTTTCTCTTCTATTCTGGTGCCGGGACTTATTAGTTAAGCGATCAGTTATCTAATAACATCAGAAACGCGATCAAATTCATTATTGTAATTGGAATCACTTCCATAATGATTTAATTCTGATATCAGATAACGAGTGGGGGCTACACTGTTAGAAATTTTTAGAAATTTCATGGAAGGTATTAAGTAAATCTCATGAGAGTGATATTAAATCAAATTTAAGGAAAAAATAGTTATGAAATTTCAAGTTTTAAGTAGAATTCATGAAAATTCATGAGTTTCCAGTGGGAGTGAGATGGAAATTTTACAACTTGATTGAATTTTCAGTGGAACATAAATATTCAGAAACAAAATGACATGAATTTTCAATTTTTCCTTGAATTTTCCTGGTTTGTTTGAATTTTTGCAGAATTATTGAACTGAAAAATCACGTATTTTATTGATTTCCCGGTCATTTGAACAGAAAATCAATGGAATATTTGATTTTTCAATGGCAAGATTTCTTGAAATTGCAGTGGAACTTGAACAAGATGAAAATGTCCGGAATTTGGCACGGAACATTCAGACGAAAATTTTTAACAGTGTTGGAGGAAGGGGGACGGAATGGGTTTCAACCGGTTTAGGGGAAAAGCATCAACTCAAAGGGTGCTAATGTCCATTCCAGCGGAATATTCTCCCTTTTCCCTCGTTTCCGTCGGAGAATTTTTTATTTTCAGGCTTATGTGCCTAATTTTCAGGGACATGTAACCGGTTTTTGAAAATTTATCATAAATTATTGGTGGTACTTGACACTAACTAGAATAACCCTGATTATTAATGATGGTACCTCTGAAAGATAGTAATAAGAGCACTAAATAAGTGGACAATTGCATTCTTTTATAAATGAGGATAGTTATTGTTGCTAATAAATGTTGCTAATAAATTGTTGCTAGCAATTTGCTTCCGAATAAATTCTCTTTTTTAAAATTCTTATTTCACTATTCTCTTTTTCTGTTTTTTCACGTCATAGTATTATCATCAATTGAAGTGTCATTAAAATTTTGCGTATTATTTCATTTTGTCAAATGATTCTACATATTCAGACCCTCTCAAGACTCGAATTCGTACTCGATGCGGGTTTAATCAAGGTTCCATCAAGTTTTAAGCAGTGTTTAGCCAGAGCTTAACCCTGAATAAATCCTGAAAATGGTCCGGAACGATTGGAGATACCATGAAAGTTGATTACAATAATTTCCCTAGCCGGGAAGTTAAAAATATGGAATTTTTCGAATCTGTATGGGAAAGTGAATTTCAATTGGTGTCAATGAGTGGAGTTTATTAAAGTCCACATTCATGGAAAAGTCATGAAATTCGATTGATTGCTTATAAGAAAATTTCGCAACAAAAATATAGCCACCATCTAAACATCGCATATTCGAACTTTTTAAACCATATTTAGTTATCTAAACTCAAAAAATTGAAAACTTAAATTTGGGCGATTACAAAGCTTTCATTCCGAAGCAAATATTGTGACAAAGTAGTGGAATTTCAGATTTTTGCAGTCACTTAATTTCACAATCGCAAATCCCTACTCTGTTAGAAATTTCTTGAAATTTCAGTCCCAGCGTCATCTGAATTTTCAATGTTGTGAGGTTGAATTCAATTTCAAATGAAAGCGTTCACTAAATTTCTCATTCAACTTGAAAATTCAAGAAAATAGGGTTTTTCATGTTAAACAATTATGGATTTTTCACTGAAAGAGTTTCCGAACTCATCGTGAAAATAAGAAAAATCACATACAATTTAATTTTTAATAGATTGAGAATTCAGAAAAGTTGTTGCCTGAATTTCCAAAATTTCCAGAGTTCTTCAGGGCCTGAAAATCGAGAATTACTTGAATACTCAAAAAATTAACCGATTCGTCAATGGACATGAAAATATACAGAAATTTCATGTAACTTTGTCGTTGTTAAAAATTTCAAGCTTCTTCACTTGAAATTGCAAGAGTAATTGTCTAAGAATTTAATAATTGGCGATAGACTCCTGAAAACCAGCGACATGTCCCTAAAAGTGAAAACTTCTATTTTTTGTGGCTGATATCCGTATGGCAGGAACCCTCTCCCTCACTCCTCATGTCCATCCCTGATCCCTGACCCCTAGTCCCTATACACGGAGAAAATAGTTGGTGACATTCACCAAATAATTTTCTCCGTGTACTCCGTATCAACTTCATCAATAATTCGTTTACTAAGGTAGAAATGGAAAATGAACCTTCGACTCATAATTGTCAGCATTTCTTCTTTTACTCCCTGGAAAGAAAGGACAAGAATTCTGAGACACACTATATATTTTTTTGATCAAATCTTTGTTTTTTATTGTAGGCTAGTCTGCTTCTCTCCTTTATGGCTATTTTTATTGAATATTATATAAAAGTTTATTGATTTATACCATGGTACACCACTGATATCGCTTCCGGTTGATTTATTTTGTTACAGGCATTCCCCTCCTGGAGGAGAGCCCGGCTCGCCAATCGATATTCTCCCTCCGTGGACACTACTGAAAAGTGTGCGACTGGGCCGGAGGGTAGGGGAGGGGAACGCGTGATTTATAGAAATAAAAAATTATCGATCTCAAAATTTTAGGTGACAAAAGAAAAAGAATTTAAATAATTAAGTAGTTACAAAACACGATTAAGCGGACAATTAATTGGATTGAGTGAGAAAAAAAGAATTTCCAAACTGGCACTGCCGAAATCATTAGGAACCGAGGGGATTAATACCAAAATTAAATGATAAATAAATTTGAATGGTTAAGACACGTGTTCATGGGTCAGTTAATCATGGAGGAGAAAATCGAAATGGGAGAATGATTTTTAGAATTTAATAATCAATTGCAAATGTACACGAATTACCAATTTTCCACGCTTTCACGACTCTCAAACGTGCTCAGCTGATTCAATAATTAATAATTTAACGATTGATAAGTAATCACCGATTTATATTTCATTAATGGAGCGTCCATAATTTTAATAAAATTACGAACCATTTAGTGAAAAGCTGAACATAAAAGTATTTCTAAGGCCTGATAATTTCTTATAGAGCAAAAAAAATGATTCCAAAAATCAATGGAAAAAAAATTGATTGAATGATAGGCTAGATTTGAGTCGTGTCATTGCAATTGAGCGAATGAATACAATAGAAGAATCAGGGAGAAAATATGGATTAATGTAAAGATATGTGAAAGAAGGTTTAATCGAGGGAAAAAGTACAAAAGAGGGAGAATTTTTGAAGAATTATTTTTCTCGTAAGTGGGGAAAAAAATAAATCAGATAACCTGGAGTCTGACGGGGAGTCCCGTTGCGAGCTGGGAGACTTGAGACGTAGGGTGGAGAAGTACGGATACATAAATCGAGGTTCCTTGGGTCGTTTCGACCCAAGTGCTGCCTCGATAATTGATTCCGACGAGTCAACGGTGATAATGGGCGCCCAGCAGGAGGAGGATACTAAATCGAGTACTGCTGGGGACATTGGAAATGTTGATGCACAAATTCCTCTTGCTGAGATGCAGAGTTTCGTGGAAAAAGCGAAATTCTATACTTCATTGTGTCTTGGAACAACAGCGATACTGGCGGTTTTTGGATTTTTATTTCTTATTCCCTTCGTGGTGGAGCCAGCTATATCAACGATTCTCGCCGATTTTTCACCGCATGCTGTCGCTTGTGTGGTGACGGAACATGTCTATGTGGAGGGGCTGAAGAATTGTTCTTGGGCGAGTTGTAGAGAGGGTAAGCAATTTTTATTCTCAATTATCTCATGAATCGACTTGAGAGTGGTTATCCAAGAGCACAAACAATTTTTTTTTCAACAGTGAGAGAAATTTCCGAGGGGCTACTCACTCCCTGATTAACCCTTGATCACTCGCACATGGGCGCCAGCCTTCATCCGTCGCACGGTTAGCGCAGCGCTGGGTTAAACCGAGCGCGCTGTTGCCACCGCTGCGCTTAACGCCATGCGCGCATTCCAAGGGTGGCAGTAAATGTAGCAACACTGTCGCTCGAGGGGCCGACAGGGACTCACTGGCACCGCGCGGCACAGAACTAGAAACTTTAATTTTTTCAAAACATGAAAAAACGAAAACGGGTGGTACCGTACTCGTTGAGCGAGTGATCGAGGGTCAAGTGACACCATAATTTCGATATGAAGTCGACTTCACGTGATTTCAGAGTTGATTTTAGAGATTTTGGGCAGAAATGAAATCAACGACTTCAAGTTGATCGCGATATGATTTCGTGACTGCAACTGACTTTGAATGATTTCATAAATTCGAAATCAGTGATTTCAGAGGCAATGAAATATTAATCGAAATCACGACAAATAAAGTTCGTCACATTCTCTTACAAAACATTCATTAATTTTTAATGATTTCGGAATGATCCCAGCGTGTTTTCGGAAATGATTTCAGAGAATGGGAATCACGTGATTTCAGTGATTTCGATAATTTTAATGATTTCACATGATTTCAAAGTGATTTCAGATTGATTTCATCGCAGAGTAGCGCCATGATTTTGGGAGTCAGCAGCTCCTCGGAAATTTCCTACACTGAGAAAAAAAAATTCTAATATCTGAGGCATATTTTCTTGAGAGAAGTAAATTATTTTCAATGGCTTAAATCTCAGAATGTGTGCACTTCACGGAACTCGAATAAAGTTTCATTCGTCACTATCGTTCCGCGTTACGTCATGAATATTTTACATATTGTAATATTGGAAGTGCATAACGAAAAAATCATGAAAACAATAAAGACTAGAAGATTGACGATTCTTCTACGCGATTTAAGTAAGTTCATTTGCGATAAAATCATACTTGAGTACATGAATATTTTAAAGCATGAGGCCTTTTTCAGGTCATGTGAGTTGAGATGCCCGAGAGAATTAAGCAATTGAAAAAAATTTACTTGTCACAAGAAAATATGTTTCAGATATTAGAAAAAAAATTTCTCAGTGTAATACGTAGACCATATTTACTTGAGAGAAGTAAATTATTTTCAATCGCTTAAGTCTCAGACTGCTTACGCTTTACGGAACTCGAATAAATTCTCATTTATCACTATTCTTCCGCGGTGCATCATGAATACATATTAAACCATTGGAAGTGCATAAAAAAACTCCTTAAAAAACAAAAATAAATGTTTTTGTAAAGAAACTGCGCCAAGCAAAAGTTTTGTTTGATTCTTACTGAACAGTAGAAATTTTTGAAAAATATAAAGGATTAAACAAAAATCAAGTCGGAAATGTCAAATGAATGACCGTATTGGGTACAATCAGATGTCTATGAGAAAAATATTTCTAAATGGAATAAGGATTGGAGGAAAATTCTTTATGAAATAAAAAATCAGTAGAAGCGGGACCAACGTCCTTGGCGCGGATTAGAATGTAGAGGATTAGATAGATGCTCGACAGGAAGGATGTTGGTTCGGCTTACTTTCTTGCTTTGTTTATTTTCTTGCGCGGGGTTGTAGGGGTAAGACTGCCACTTTGGGAGCCACCCCTTAGGATTATACCACTATAAATCCATGACGTAATCGCTCGATTTTAGGATCTCTCACTCGTTGAATTCCAGGATGCTGCGACTCCCTAAAAATTACGAATTAATCCACGAAAACTAAAGCTTTTTTCACCCCGTATTCAGGAAATGAATAATTCATCACCTTTCTACACACAATTTGTCTTCATCATCAGAGATGTTGGTCGCATACAATTCGTGATCAGTCTGAAAAAATCACAGAATTCTCCTTCAACTCGCAAAAATTTAAGTTTTCGAAAATGAGTAGACATCTTTGAATAGAAATTCGATCGATCCGTATAACATGCCTCCCCCTCCTCCGTTCTGCTCCATTCATAACGATTGATAAATGAAATAAAATTCTAATCTTATCATTTTTGGTTAAAGGCTGTACTAGTGCTGCAATCAGATGTCATCAGGTCAAAGTCAATTACTCAAAACTACCGTACGAGGATTTCACAAAAAAGCCAGTAGGTACAGTACCATGGGACGTCGCGGATACAAAATTTTTCATCAACACAGAAGGTTGTGGATATCCACCAAGAGTCAATTGTTCAGAATTCGCTAAGAAATTTGGCTACCAGAACATGGGGAAAATTTTCCCATGTTACTACAGCAGAACTTATCCAGAGACTGTGGTTTCCAGGTAAAGTTTTTACGTACTTTTAATTTTCTTATTTTTTGCAAAATGCAAAATGAAAAATGAGAATGGTTTAACAATAATCTGTGAACAAGATCATATTTGTAATCATCGTGTAAGTACGTAATAGCAGGCAGATTAATTGAATGTGTTTGCGTTTGTGAAATAGGTACTCTTGGGACGAAAATCTGAGGCATTTGGTGCTTGCTCTAGTGACCCCAATTGTCCTATTCATTGTCTCCTTGGGTGTACTTTGTTACTGGTACTGTCCACCCATGGGAAAGACTTGCGGTGGCCCTGGACGTAATTTAATAGATAAATATGCGCGAAAGGAAGAGTAAGTAACGTGTATGTATGCTGCGCTCTGTAGATGAAATTTAGAACCGCTATTTATGCAGGAATCACTCTAGATTGAATGACCATTAGGCAGGCCCAGAAAACATTTTTTCCGAATTTCAATTTGCAAGTTTACGGAAACGAAAGCTCATTAGTTCAAATGACTGTGTGATTTTTTTCCGATTTTTAGAACCATATTTTGAGCTTCCGCAACGATTTGGAATTTGTTATGACGTTATACACGTGAAAAAGTCAATTAAGTTTCGAATCGTGATTATATGAGTAAACTTTTCATATTTTCTTGAATACTTGGTGGGAAACTATTGACAAATAATCAAATAATATGAATAATGCTCTTTCGCAATTTCCATTCCATTTGTTAACGAATAAAAGTGGATCATTTTTGCTGAAAATGGACATTTTTGGGGGCTTCCAGAGCCCTCCGAAATCGATCCAGTCCTTTTTTAATTCCGTCAAGTGATAGTTTAACTATCTCATCGTCATTCTCCAAAAGAAGGATAATTTTCAACAGGTCCAAATTCGAGAAAAATGCAAAAGAAAATTGTTAAACTTTTAGGCTCCGACAGGTGCTGGGAGTGTCCGGTGTTTTTATGGAGGGCCATATACTGAAATGGAGAAGGTTAGTCCGCTGGCCCAGCCTTCTCTAGCACAGGTCGATTTTTTTCTTTCTCTCCGTAATAAATAACTGGTTTATTCGTTTTTCAATATTAAGTTTGTCAACTTTTTTGGAATTTAACTTGACAAACAACATCGTTAAATTCCTCAATACATTACGATTTCAACGTCACTCGGTTCATTGTTATAGCTCAATTAGAAGTGGAGTTGTTTTATTGAAACTATTTTGAATGTTCATAGAGTTTAGAAAATGTATTATTACGCTGTATTTTTTTAAATCATACAAATTTAATATAAATGTGATATACATTACTTATCGCTAGAGTAACTCATAAAAATAATTGTTCATAATACTGTGGGTGCTTCAGAACGATTGGATATTTCTCGATAGTTTCTTTGCAAATAAAGGAGGGTGTTATGTTTTGCAAGTTCAAAAATCCCGAGTGCGAAGCGCGAGTGATTTCTCCTCAAATAATTTTGAAGCTCAAGTGGTAATCGGGGGCATTATTTTTTCTCTCAGGATTTTAATCAGGAGAATCGTAGGCAGAAAATTCTTCGTTGCTCTGAGCAATGGAACCGAAAAAAATTATCAAAAAATGATCGCTGTAAAACCGTGTATGTCTTATAGAAAAATATTTCACTGTTCCGAAATTTAATTTGTGCACTCCGCTGATTGAATGAAATAATTTGTCTAGCATATGTTGGAACTCGATCTCTTTCACTTGCGCTACTAAATATTTCTCCTTTCGACAATCGCTGTACCTTTGAATATTTCTATACTAATTCACTAGATTATCCACTTTCGTAATAGCATAGGACTCTTGCACGATTGGGATTCCTGCGTATTCCCAAAAAAGGGCACACTTCCGCACAATACACTTTGCGGCTTCACGGGCAGTAAGCTTCGGTGTTACATGTCTCGTGTGATAGAAAAAACACTGTAAAACCTGCCTATTGGAAGGCAAACGGTTTCCACAAATTTCCGGTGTTGCACTACCGACGAAAGTGATGTCAATGTCTTGTCGCGTTTCTGGCATTTTCGTACGTTTTTTGTTGTTAATCTTTACAGAAGAGAAAAAAATCAACGTAGCAATTATTTCGATGTGATTGGTTTGGTAGTGCATCGTCAAATGACTTTCTGTGTTCAGGAGGGATTGAGGAGAGACCCAAAATTCATAGGTATTCCAGTAAAAGGAATATTAAGTGGGCAAAAACTCCACCCCCAAAATTTTCGGCTTGTCCAATCATAAATTAATGGAGAAATTATGAAATTTGCTCAATACTCGCCCCTGACCGTCAAACTGAATGACTCCTCGTAAAATCCCAGAATTTTTACATTCTTAGAAGGTCCCTGAAGGCACAAAAGAGCCTCACAAATCGTATTATCGGAATTATCTGTTACTAATTTAAATTTTTAAGAATATTGAAATATTAATTTCATTCGGATTGTGATGCTGCAATCCGATGTCATCGAAATATTATCTATTGAATTGTTGTAGCACTATCTTTATAGATTCTTGGAAAAGAACAGTGCCTAATTCTCACTATATTGAAATTTGACTTTAATCGAGACAGAGCATGCAAGAAAAATTTGTTAATGATTTAATCATTTCAGTAGTCTAGAAAGTCATTTCAATTGATAAGGGAAGAAAATTGAAAGAATAATGTCTAAATTATTTTCTTCAACATAGATGAGAGGATATCTCCCGTCCCAACTTTTTTTTTATATGAATAAATATGACGTTATTCAATGCGGTAATTACAGAACATTATTGATGAATTCTGTTTAGATCAGCCGAAGTTAAGGAAATCAAGATATCTGAAATTATCGTTTCAAAATACATAAAGTAAAAGAAAAAAGTTTTCAGTTGTTTACTTAACATTGACGATTTTGTGACTAGTGAGCATAATGGCAGGACCTTTAGATATTTCCTAGAACATGCCCACTTGTACATCACACTGGGTCGACACTCTTGCTACCTGACAAGGGATCGCCATAAGATCATTTGACTTTTCACTAACGTCCATAATGACGAACTGCCAGTGGGTCAGATATTTTTGTATATTTTCAAATCGTTTGCGGAAGCACTAGAAATGTTGCTAAAAATCGGAAAAAAATCACACAGTCATTTGAACTAATGAGCTCTCGTTTCTATAAACTTGCCAATTGAAATTCGGACCAAATGTTTTTTGAGCCTGCCTAATGACCACATTATTATTATTAGTATTCATCCATACCATATTCCCAAAGTTAATAAGAAATTGAGATGGAATCTCATTAAGGGGAAACCGCGGTGGAATTTCAACCCGAGTAGAAATTTTAGTACTTGGTTGGTAATCCCCTGGTCCGATGTGGCGTAGTAAAGATTCGGCCCTGTTACGATTACCACATCAGGGCCTGATAGGAAATGTAACGTAAAGCATGATCAGGACCTGATTTCTAAACCTGATAAGGGCCGTGACAGACGGCCTGGTTTCGCCCTTACCTGGCAGAGACTTTGCTACAAATTAATAGATTGCTGACTGAATTATTAAATTGAGCCAAAAATGAATAATAATAAATAAATAAATAAATAAAGTCTCAGAATAGGCGGATCGAGAAAAAAAAATCACTCAGAGCGGGACTTGAACTCGGGAGCTTCCGCGTAGTAGTTCTGTAACCTATCCACTCGACCACCGTATCATTCTTAAAATCATGGTTTGTTTTGAGTATATTAATGATACTCCCAATAAAATTGTAGTATTGAACTAAATCTAGAATAATATCAATTACTATAATTTTCCTGATCATCATCCCCCTCCCCTCCGACCCACCCCCCTTTACCATTTTCACCCCGATTCTTTGTTTGGTGAAAATTTTTCCTGTACGGCATGCCTTATCCGGACCTGATCATTGCCGAATCAGGTTCGCCGTATTGAACTTATAGAATTTTCGAAGTTAAGGATTCCCGGCATACCTTACCTGGTCCTGATCATGGCCGGATCGAGTTGGCTGTATCCGATATAGGCAACAAGCACTCGTGTTCAATCAAAACAGGCTGAAAAAGACCCCGGAATTTCCCTTATCAGACATGTCTGATGTAATTTTAATTTTTCTATATTACGGTACGCTCAAAAGGCCCTGACTGGGGCATGATCAGGCATGCCTGCTTGAAGTTTGGAATTTATTGGTAAGGTGAACCTGCATCCAGGGGTGAAAATCGTCCAAAAATTTGTCTACATAATTCCAACCACCCCAAACATCACGAATTCATTATTTTTCAAATATATTGTAAATTATTTTCAATCTAGAGTGATTCTCATCCACTTAATTCATGAACTTCAATGAATATCACGCTTTTGAATAGTTTGGAACCATTATTGCAGCATTCTTGCGGAGGACGAATTCGAGGAAGACGAAGAGGAGTACTGATTGTTACCGAGGGCTCACCCCCCAGCGAGGGAGTGACGCCTGATCCCACCATCGCAGAGTCTAGTTTACTTCACGTTTTGAATTTCAATGAGAATAATTGGCCTGTCATAGCTAACTAACGAACATCCTCTGAGTCCAATCCCAAATTGGCTTCTACAACACCAATAATCGCTTTATAGCCGCCATTACCTAAACTGTCAGCTCACTAAAACTAAAAATAAATACAACAACGATTTTTAAAAACAATTTTTTATAATGTGAGAGGCGATTGAGTAATGAAACAGCGTAAAGTAGGAAATTCTTTATAATTACATTGCCAAATTATTCATGGTGAAGGCACTAGGCTCGATTGGATCAGTATTCCTGGGGTTAGAGACACGTACAGAGAGTTCATTTGAATAGAAACGCAGGAATAAATTACACACAATGCTGAGGAGTTTGCAGCCAATCTTCCAATCAATGAAATCGTCTCATTTAATTTAATTTACCCAAACTTTCAACAATTTCAATTAGTTTATGGTAAATTAGTTTTTTTCAATTTCACTGATTTTTTTGTTTGTTAATTGGACATTTATCCACCCCCTAATTGCATTAAAAAAATGCTCGGCTACTGAACGCATAATTCCGTAGTGAAATGATAGAATGAGATGAACTAAAAAATTGCAAATTATTTCGTAAATATATTTGGAAAAAATACGTTCAGTGAATTTCATCAATAGTATTTTCTGCGTCGTTATCAAATTAATAATTTTTTCGATATAAATTCTTGTTAATTATTGAATTATTTTCAATATACACTGACAGAAAAAATTAGTGTTACCAAAAGAATTTTATTTAAACCAACTATGATTTGATTGTTAATTTTCAAATAAACATGATTTCATAGTGAATACCAGTTACCTCTTCTTGAGGTACACTTGATTGGGAGAAATTGAACTTCTCTAGAATTGAAGTTCCGATTATTTGTCGCAATAATGAGAGCATTTGATTTCGTTCTAGCTAAAAGTTTGCTGACTCCAGAAATTCGTTGATTTACTCAAAAATCAAAATTATTCTCATGACTAAATATGCTATTATCTCAATCAACACGATCATACGTTGTTTCAAGTAAATTATAATTGGAGCGAGCATTTCGTACGTCGACTCAGGATGAATATTGTTACGCGGAAAAAGCTTTGAGATTGTAGTAAGATGTCGGTGAATTGAAAGAAGTTTATATTTCTTGACTAAAAAAAATCGCATTAGTTTACAATAACAGAATCACAGATTACGGCAAGTCAACACAAACTTGGATATCACAAATTTCGTTCAATGTGATGTACGGAAAGTTCAATTGAAACATCGGCATCATTCGAGAAAACAACATTCAATTCATTCCTCAATATAATCATCTGATAGGTACGAATTTTTGATCAATTCATGAAAGTAGAAAATTTCTTGTCTGCAGATTATATTCGGTTACAAAAAATAGAACTTCTCCATTTTTGTGGTGAATACATGTGACTTCACTCCAAGGACAGGTTTATTTGATTCATGTGAATGTATCTCAAGAAGAAATAATTGAATATTCACCGTAAGATCATATTTATTTGAAATTGATTCAAGTATATAATACTTGTTTTAGGAAAGAAAAATCTCAATAAAAATAATTCTTTCTATCAATGCAGACAATGACAATGTTACAGACAACGATTATGTTACACTGTAAAAACTAATGTCCAGAAGACGTCTTAATTTGAGCTATCAGACCCGAGAATGTGTCTTATCGGCTGGTTTATTGATAGCTGACATTTCGAACGTCTTAAAATAAAAAGAAGAAAATCTTTTCGTTTTTCAGAAAAAATTAATGAAGTACTTGGAAAAACAAATGAGACATCATGAGTTTGGAGCAAAAAATCCTCGAGTAAAACACTTAGAATGCCTGGAATGCAATGCATGTCTTAATATCTTAATTTGAGACAGTATCTTTTCTAATATAGGAAAAAGAATGAAAAGACATTCGTAAAAAATATGTTGAACTTTAGAAACGGTCTTTTAACCTGATCCACTGAACTTATTAATTGCAAAGATATTTCATAGAACAATCTGTAGATAATTTTTAACTCACCTCTCCTCACATTTCACTGCATTTATAATTGATGAAATTATTATTACAATCGTCATTGTATATTGAATCAAACAAAACCTAAATATAATGAGAAATTGTTACAATTTTTGTATTCTGGAGAAGACGAAATGGTGATTCCAATATTGTATGGTTGATATAGGTAATAATAATGATATGGAATTATTATTTTTATTTTTGTTGATTGTTATGAACGGGACTGAAAATGTTGAATTCCGCGCTTTTCGCATCGACCTCTTTCTCCACATCGAAAGATAAATATTAATTTTAGTCTAATAAAAGTACTATTAATTTATTGGAGGTTTTATAATATTTTTTATTTTTCCTGAGAAAACTGCAGATCGTTATGAACAGTACGGAAGACATGACAGTGTCCTATACATCTAGAATGGTTGTGAAAAATACAACGGCCTTGTACTATTGGCTCCGTTATTTGAATATAAAGAGAAATTCATAACTTACGTATTAGTTATAAGCAACAAACGCTTCTCTTTTTTAATACTTCATGTTATTGTCTTATATCGAGGGAAATGAGTTTTCGAGCACTGTCAATATGGAGGACGACCCAAACCAAGCATTTGTCTTCGCCTATAAACTTTCATAACAGGGAACTTGCATAAAGTCCAGTTTTCAAATATTTTCTAATGAATAGAGTCTTTGTAGTCTATGAACCATTCCAGAGTAAAAAGTTTTGCGAAAAGTAGTCTGGATATTTTGTAATAACTGATTAAAAATGCATCAGTTTTGAACTTTTTATTGGGATCATGACGTCAAGTAACCGGAATCAAGTTCCCCTTGCAACCACTGGCAGCGCTATTGAGTTATTCTAGCCTCGCAAAGTGCGAGAAGTTCAACCAAAAAAAAATCGAGGGGGTTATGTTTGAAACAATTATTAAAAGTGGATAAAAAAAAATATATCGATGGTAACAAATGAAGTTTATCCTGGAAAATGATTTTCAAAAGGCGGACTCGAGAAATTTATCAACGGTAGATGTGACTATATTGATAAATTTTATGGATTTCAATCTCTTTTAAAGTGTCGAAAGTCATGGTTGTATAATTTTCACTGTTGCATTTTTACATCCTGGTAGAAAACAATATTGATGAGGAACTTTCATCGCTCGATCCGGTTTTTCTGACATTTTGGAGCCAAATAAATGTACAGAGTATTTTCGTAGATTCCAGCAGTTGTACTAAACCGCTTGATGGCGCCACAGGAAAATTTCGGCCTCCGGTGAGTTGACGTCACGGGCCTTTTTAGAACGTTTAAAAAAATGCAATTTTTAAAAGCAAATGAATAATTATTAAACCATTGTCCGTGTGTTTCCTTTTCAAATATGGGTTCTTGGGGGCGTATATTTTTGAAAAAAAAAATTTCAAAACATGCAAGTTTCCTATTTTTTTATTTTTTGGGGTTCATACTAACCGCGTTCCTGCTGTGAACCGTGAGTAACGCTAAGTGCTGGTAGCTCGATATAAATGCCTTATCAGGCGCTTTCGAATTCAAGTAGTTTGGGCATTTTTTTCTGGGTAAAATCCTCTTCAGAGTTTATAGAACAGAGACCAATACCAAGGGTATTTTTGGAGGCGCAATATTATCCTGAATTTCCAAACATTTTTTCGAGAAAAGGATTTAAAAAAATGAAATTTAAGAGCTGTGTAATAGTATGTTGCGTTATTAGGCTGAAAAAAACTTTTCTGGCGAATATGAGTTTGCAGCTCGAGCCGAAGGCGACGGTTGCAATCATATGTCGAATGATATTTTTTGTCATAACGTGTGTAGGCAGCAATTTACGAACGTGCAGCGAAAGTGGAATTTTGCGCACACGGGGCGTACTGTAGAAATTTTTTTGAAATTTCATGGAATATATTATTGTAAATCTTATGAGATTGACATTGAATCGAATTTAGAGAAAAAATGGTTATGAAATTCTAAGTTTTTAGTAGTTTTCTGTGGGAGTGAGATGGAAATTTCACAACTTGATTGAATTTTCGGTAGAACATGAATATTCAGAAACAAATGACATGAATTTTCAATTTTTCTCTGAATTTTCTCGATTTTTTTGAATTTTCTCAGAATAATTGAACCGAAAAATCAAGTATTTTATTGACTTTCAAATCATTTGAATAGAAAATCAATGGAAATTTGATTTTTTAATGACAAGATTTCCTGAAATTTCAGTGGAACATGAACATGAAAAAAATTTTCGGAATTTGGCACGGAAAATTCAGACGAAAATTTTCAACAGTGCGTGCGTAAAATATCACTTTATGCACAAGTGATGAAAATAATAATTTTTCTACCATCCGAGGTGTTCGTGTCCTTCATATTGACCTCGAGCACTTATTTTGATCATCCGAAGGGTTAATTCACCTCCTAATAAGGAGAATAATTTTTTTATTCGGATTCCAGTGCGAAGAGGGTGTCAACCTGTACATGCTTATGCAGAAAGTTGAGGAGTAAAATGGTGAAGAGTAGAACAAGATGTCCCTAAAAGAAAAAAATCATCGAGAAACTTCTTTATGGGAGATTTTCTGAACTAGAAAAATAATATCTGGATATTTCTATTCAACTCTGCTCGAATCATTAATATTCGCGAGACGATCTCGATAAATTCTTCAAATAATCTCTCCTTACCATTTTATTGCGAGGCACCGCTCCTCAATTCCCCGCGTATTTTTGAAGTTACTATTTTAGGCAGAGCTTTTAATTATTTATTAATATGCAGCTAATTTTTAAATTATGAAATTCTATGCAATTCATTTACACATTAAATGTCACTGATTGATATTCATTTTCGATTAATTTGACATACAGTAATTTTCTTCGACATTAATTCCTGGTGAACTTCGAAGTGCAGATTATTTTTAAATAAAATGAGAGGCAAGGTTGGCACAGGAAGGAAAAACGGTGCATGTATTTGAAGAAATCACCTGTATAAACTAATCTAAAACTCGTTAGTCACAGTAAGCTGTAAATATTTTATTCAATTTCGTCTCTTGGTCATTAATTGCTTGAGAATATCGATTACTGCTCAATTTCGTCTGTAGGAAATCGATACCAATGGCTCATTGTTGATTGAGATGAAGATTGCCTGATTCGTCACTTTCATTAATTCTTTATAAAATAGGTTTTAATTAATACTCAAGTGCTGTAAATATTTGATTATGGATCATGATTAAAGCTCTACTGTAAATAATGAACAGAATATACGATTTTATTGCATGTGTGGAGAAGATGAAATGAGAGATTAATTAATGCAAATGTTCAAGCGAGGGGCTACTGACTCCATAATTGAGTGACACCGTGATTTCGAAATGAAGTCGATTTAACGATTTTGGATGATTTCATCACCTCGAAATCAGTGATTTCAGAAAAAATGAAGTCATTTAAATCACGATGAATAACTAATAGAGGTGGGGCAAAACGGTCGTGTCAAATTATGAAAATCAAAATTGACAATAATAACTGGCAAATAATAACGAATTTGTTGGATTCCACTCCGCCAATCTTGAGCTAATGACGATGAAAAGCCGTCAATTTTACACCAGTCTCCACTAATAATTCACAAATAACAATCAATTTCAGAACTTTATATTAGAAAACAACAGTTACATAAATGATTTCACACATAGATTGCTATAGTATTAACTCATTTATTTAGA